CCACATAGTTGGCATTCTGACCTAGGAAATTTTCTTGCAGATTATTTTTTTCTCACATGCAACTATTTAAATTTGAATCAGTTAATAAGACTGGAAATAAGCCTAACCTAGTCAGCTGACCAGTTTGTTAGCAACATATTTTAACAAAAGCAAAACAGAAAGGGGGGGGAAAGGACTAGAATAAACAAAAAGCTCTAATGCGACTATATTAATTGGTTTTCATATCAATATTTAAGGTGCTATAACAGATTAAATGCTGTAGGTAAAAAGATAAAATGCTGAAACTCGTAGCAAGGGGAAAGAGTAATAGAGGTACTGGGAAAAATGTATCTGAGAGACAGATGGGAGGGCTGCATATCAGAGGGGTATAAGAGTGAGGGAGTTACTTAGAGGATAAATTCCTCTACTGCTGCTTGCAAACACTTGAACTGAAAAATTCTTTCAGAATATAAAACCTAGCTTAACTCAGAATGTTTACCTCTCTGCTGATACTAGCCAAATCACAATGAAAGAAAGAGCACTCCAGTTAGGTTGAAAGCATTTTAGCATTTTCAAATGAAATTGTTACAGTTTGTACCTTCACCTTGTTTGGTTTGGTTGTGGATTTTTTGGTTTTTTTTTGTTTTGTTTTGTTTTTTTGGTTTTTTTTTTTCTCTTTTTGTCCTAATTCTGTTTACAATAAAATATCGTGACTGATGAAAACCAATAATTTGGGAGTTTTATTCTATGGAGAATTGAGGATTTGAAGTGGTTTATTTCTAAAAGGGAATTTTAGAAGTCTGTTTTGCAAAGCAGTTCTGTTCTTATTCTTGTGAGCCTCCCAGTTGGCATTAGTAGTCAGCAATTACAACAGAAGTATTGTGAAGCTGACACTAGGTAAGCGGGAGTGGAACAAACGAAGTGGCAATGTCTCTGGGGTAGGGCATAGCAAGTTTTCAAAAAAAACCATCTCCAAGGATGGAGGCAGCCTGCTCTACTGCTTGATTGTCCACATGGTGAAATGAAGTCTTGCTTTATATCCTGTGTAAAGTTGTCTTGTTTCAGTTTATTGTCCATTGTCTCTCTGTCACAGCATGCACCACTTCTTTGAAAAGCTTGTCTCTGTCTTCCCGGTAACTTCTCTCTAGGCACTGGAGCTGCTGTTACCATCCCATTAATGCTGCCCTACTCAGGCTAAACATTTAAGCCCTGTTCCCTCAGCCTCTCCTCACACGGCAAGCACTGGCCATTTTGGTGGCCCTCCACTCAATTCACTTCAGTTTATCAAAGATTTTCTTCTATTCAGGGATGCAAAACTAGGCACAGTATTTTAGATGTGGTCAAATGAATGCTGATTAAGGGAGGAAGGAGTGTTGCATGTTTCAGAGGACATTAAAACAATACCAAAAGGAATCAAGAAGTGAATAGAGTTGGCATGCTCTGTTTTTTAGAGCTGGATTAAGTTTCTTTCTTCAAACAAAGGTTCAGAACACTTGAGCAGAAAGAAGGAGTTTGTGTCTCATACCTGCACTAAGTAGTGCTATTTATAGTAAGTAGAGGGCTTTGCTTTCCTTTTCTTCTTAATTCCTACTGCTTTTTTGTGGATGTTTCAGTGCATTCTGATAACACTTCCTCAGCAAAGTCACAGAAACCAGACAGATGGAAGTAATACATGATTCCTCATCTCTAAAGGGATAGACTCAAAGTATGCACTGAGTAGCACTGTCAGGATGTGCAGAGCTGATTGTCTGGCCACAGTGGTCTGTTGAACATCACTTAAGGGACTTTCAGGAAGCGAGTCAGAGGGTTGTGAATATGCATGGCTCTTCAGCATTGGACTGCAGTACTGGGACCCTTCTCCAAGTGCAAGTTCTCTTTGTGTACTCAGCCAAACAGGTGAATGATCCGTTTTGCGTGAGTATGCCCCAACTGACCTATGTGAGGCTAAAAAAGCTGTAAGCTGTAAAGTCCATATTCTCATGTGTGCATACCTACAAAACTGTAAAAAGAGACATTTTGCAGACCAACAAAATCTGTTTCTAAGAACCATGTGCTTCTCAGACCAAAGTACTTTGGTTTCAGTCCATTCCTAAGCATTACAATATAAAATGGAATATTCTCTGACATTCTTCATCGGAAGATGTTAAGAGCTTTAATGTCTTGGGAAACTTACTTCATAAAATTTGTATTGAGTCTGTTTTTGTCTATTTTATAAAAGCAAGTTCCAATGCGATGGCTTGTAATCAGCACTAAGACTTCAAGCTGGTTTAATTAATAACTGATTTAATTAATACATTTTTGAGGCAGACTGACATGAGAGAGTGATTGGATCAACCTAGATGTCCAGCAGTCATTGAAAGCCAAGCTTAATTTATCTGTAATATTATCTCATTAGGATAACTTTATAAATTAGGTTTTTCAAATAAAGTTTTTACATGAGGTGATTAAGATTTGCCAGACTATTATATTTTATAATCTTATTTTCATGGCTTCACTGCAATCATATTACATTCCATTGCCACTGTGGAATGCACGTAGGGATGGAATTGGCTTCCTATGATAAGGAGGTAAAGAAGGTATCTGAAATGGTAGCATAACAAATTACACTCCAAAAATATTTATTTCATTATTTTGTTGCATGTGAAATGGCCAGGCATGAAGTACTACCTGCTGCTGAGTGACTGTGATGTATTCCAGAGTTTTTTAATAATTTTATTGCTTCCTTATCCAATATTTATTTTTACACTGGGCTCTAGTACACAGATACTTAGAGATCTTTTGGTGGAATATACTCATCTGTACGTAAGCTGTACTGAAATCGTATGACAAGCAGCTGATCAACTTGTGTGTTTTTGAAATCTCAGGAAGCACCAAGCTGAGACTTCAAGTGCGTAAATTCACTTTAAAATAAAGTGATGTGTTTATGGGTTGAAATTTAAGGGAAAGCATGAATGTGATGGTTTGAGGACTTCACCAAACTGTCTACACTTACACTATCTTATGTTCCAGAATGTATCAGAAAAAATAAAGGTTAGCAAGTACTTTGTCTAGTGTGGACTTCTGCAGTTGGACATCTAATTTTTCTTGGAAGCACTGGAGCCCAGTTGCTGGAGTCTTGAATTGTGGAATTTATATAATCTTGTCTTTCCAGAAAGCATTTTGTTTGAAAAATGTGATCAATAAAATAATCAGACTAGCTACACATTATCATGCTCTTTGTGTATAGGACATCCCAAAATGTTTGGGTTTGCTATATTAAAGTGCTCTCGCTTCGGTTAAATATGAGGAAGATTGCTCACTTGTTTAGTAGCACTTGGGGCATCCCACGTGATGCAGTTGAGGGTTGCAAAACAGTAATACTCTGGAACAGTTCTCTGAAAAGTGTCAAGTATTAACACCTGTAGTTTTTGTCATGCAAGGTCTCTCAAACTCAGGCACATCATTCATATTGTTTTACATACAATGTCTGACATGTGGCTGTGATGCCTTACATTCTAATGATCAGGTCAGGAAACTTGGCGAGCTGCTTTTCCTTGAATGGGAGGACTGCATAATACTACTCGTGATTGCTGTTTGTTCAATAAAGTTTTCAGTCTTCCAATTTATTTACTTTCAATTTTGGTTTCAGTTCATTTAACCTTCAGAAAACATTTGTGCTGTCTACTGCTTACAAAAGGAAGGCTCTAGCAGTCCCTTGCTGCATTTATCTCTTGCTGTGGAGCTATGATGTCTGCCATAATAGATGTATCCGTTTGAAATAGAAGTGATTAAGCTCTTATTGAAATGTCTTCTGGAACAAAACATTAGCTTTTGCTTTCAAAGGGCAGATATTGCAGCAGATAGCACTTAACCTGGCGAAGGACAGAGTGTTATATTTAAACATCACTTTTCTGCTTGTCTCTAAGAAAAAGCAAGGATATCTGCATTCAAGCACTTCCATTTCTTAATACATCAAAACAAGTATCTTTACAGAATTGAAATGAGCATGACTGTAACCATTGCTTTATTTTTAAAAACAGCTCACCCATCCTACCAATTTACTGTGATTTATTCATTTGAACTTTTAAATCTGAAAGATACAACAAAGGAAAAAAGAATTGGGCAGGCATTGGTATTTACACACTAGATTTCTGTCTTCAAAGGCACTGATTCATCTACTGTACATTCCCGAACTAAAACCAAATTTGACCATCTTGCAGTAATCCCTCGTTGTCCAGCTCAGAAATTCACATGAGATTTGACACTAATAATGTCATCTTGAAAGTATGTTGTAATTGTGTCAGTTGCTTTTCAAAGCTGATGTATATCAGTGAAACCATATAGATCTTTATTTTGCTGACTATCTGGGAAAAAGCTCAAGGCCAAAAGATGAAGCATGGAGAAGATTCTGAGTTTCCTGCCCAAATCAGGTAGACAGATAGACTACCTGTCCATCTCTGTGTATACAGAACACAACAGAGGTTCTTCTAGCACTATAGAGGTCCTAATGCATTGCATAGGACTTTTCTAAGTACTAATGCAACAAGTTATTAGTAACAGGTGAAACAAATCATTGATAAGAACTCATCAATCTAGTGACTAAGTTTTATATTTTCTCTTAATTTGAATCTAATAGGGATCCCTGGTAAGTGTGCTGATACATCCCAAGTATGCATCTCTTACATACAGTTTTGTATTCTCAAAAGTCAATATAGACATTAAGAAACTAATATTCTGTATGAACAAATGTGAAAATACAGAGGAAATACCAAATTGTCTTCTATTTCATCCATGTCTTCTTTTCAAAGAGTGTGTTCTAGGATGCCTCTATTTATGAAATATGTTCTGCAAGTATATCAAGTATATCACAAATATTTATCAACAATGTTTTAACTTTCATTCATTTCAGTGATGTATAAATTGCATTTTTTTTTCTGAGTGCAATTTGGAAACAATCTAATTTTAAAAATGTATGGGATTTAAAAATTAGTCACCTGAGAATAAATACTAATTAATATGTTCTCTTGCATTCTGTCTTTCAGATTTGTGATAAAGAATGGCATTACTATGTTGTCAATGTTGAGTTTCCCGTTGTTACATTATACATGGACGGAACAACATATGAACCTTACCTTGTGACCAATGACTGGCCTATCCACCCCTCACACATTGCCATGCAGCTGACAGTTGGTGCTTGTTGGCAAGGTAATACGACAGTAGAATTATTAATTCAGACCAAAAATAATCTTATTTGTCTCGCTTATTGCATAGTAAATAAATGGCTAAATTGTTCATGGTATAAAATCAAAAGTAACTCCAGAGTTAATAATGTATCAAGTCCAAGGATAAAATGGATGGGTCATTAACAGGCTTTGCATTTCCGTCATCTAAAGAAGTGTTGAATATAGTTTGTGTATTCAGTGTGAAAGATTATCTCCTTTATCTTTTGTCTTCACTTCTTTTAATTGTCTCCCCTGTTCTCCAGCTTTAAGCAAACTATCTAAATATTGCTCTAAAGAATTCCATTTATCTTTCAGTCTCTGCCTCAAATTTATTTCACAACTCATGGTCCAATCCTGCGCTCTTCACATGGGATTTATATCAGCAGTAATTCCGTTAACTTAACCAAGTCACTCTGTAAGAGACCATATGTAAAAGTGAGAGTGAAATAAAACCAAAATTCACAACCCCAAAGCTATACTTGTATGTGCCTTTGCTTAAAGATTAGTTTTTCCTGTTTTCTACCCTTTATAATCCCATTATTCTCATTCTTTTTTCTGCTCCTTATGACAGTTTCTTTTTCTGTTCTCTGCTTTACACCTGAAGCAGTCCTATTTTTCTGATCATCTGCTCTTGTAAAGTTGTCTCCATTACCCTTCCATGTTGATTTTCTATTTATGCACTGTGTCTCGTTTTCACTTTAGACAAAATATGAAGTGATGCAAACTGTATAATTATGAAAAAATACTTTAACACAGATTGTGTTTCTTCCCCACTCTTTAATGTTGGCTCACTTTCTCCGGTATTACCGTGTTTGCCAGCTTGATCTCTGCTCACTTACAATATGTTATCTACAAAATTTGGACATCTTATGCATGGCAGAGCTATTTAGTGTAAATAGTATTAGAAGCAAATCCAGCTGTTAGATTATGAACAATTTAGGGTAAAGATCCAGTTTTTACTTTGATGACAACATGGCAGAATAAAGCCACAGTAATCCTCACAACAGGATTTGATAAATTTTGAATATTTATCAGTGAGATAGGTATTATGATAGCTAACTAATCAGCATGACACTAATCCCATATATCTATAAAAGTATAGACTCATTCTTTGTAACTGGAATTTGCATGTGTAGGCTTCATCTCTACAGGATGATCTTTAGCTGTATTGGAATTTTTCATTGATGTTAAATACATAACAGAATAAACTTAATTTTACTCTAAGATGTTAATATCCTAAGGGAGCATTACTCCTTTTTTGGCTAAAAATATAGAATCCTAGAATGGTTTGTGTTGGAAGGGACCTTAAAGATCCTCCAGTCCCACCCCCCTGCCATGGGCAGGGACACCTTCCACTAGCCCAGGTTGCCCAAAGCCCCGTCCAACCTGGCCTTGAACCCTGCCAGGGAGGGGGCAGCCACAGCTTCTCTGGGCAACCTGTGCCAGGGCCTCACCACCCACAGGGAAGAATTTCTTCCTTATATCTAATCTAAATCTGCCCTCTTTCAGTTTAAAACCATTACCCCTTGTAACCAAAATTTTACCTATTGCTGCTGTCAATATTTACTGTAAGATTATGTTATTGCTATTTTAATAGTGTGAGAATTTGAGCTTGTCAAAAATAAAAACAAATTTTCAATCTCATGAAAATGTCAAGGTTTAGCTAAGATAGCGTGCTAAAGATTCCAATAAGCTACCATGTGTCAGGCAAAAAGGTGAACTTTGAAAGTTCATGTGAAACAAGAATTCAAGATATTGCTTTTGGCAAAGGTTATCTTTTGATAAGTTTGTTTTGATCACCTCAAATTATTCTAAATGAATGATATGGAAACTCACTTTGTTAATAAGATTCGTCACTATCTTGGTCTGTCTAATTGTACTTATTCAACACATAAAACCAATCTATCCCATTCAAAATGCTAATTTTAAAAATCCATATATTTCAAGAAAAAGTGGGTCTATCAAACAAATAATGTGACTACAAATAGTTTCAGTGAAACTGTTAACTGGGTCTGCTTAGGATAATACATTTTGGCCAGTAAGAATAGTCTAAACCCTTACATTTTCAAAGCATTAGAAAACTGCTTTACAACCATCCCTGATTTATTTCAGTAAAAATATGCAGTGATTTTGGTGTCATAAGCCATTCAGGCAACTCCTTATTAAGAGGATATGAGGAGTTTTGAGCTCTTGTTTGCTCAGACTATTTCACTCGCTTTTCATCAAAGCACTGGCAGAATAGGAATACAAGCTCTAACTTCTTCCTCCTGAAAGGACAAGACTTTTTTTTTTTTTTTTTTTTTTTTTTTTTTTTTTTCTGTTTTTACTAAACCATTTTATAGTTCTGAGTCCACAGTATCCATTTATCAGAGTCAAATTATTTGAAAAACAATCTCAACTCAGACAACTAAATGAACCAGTGAAATAACATTGCTTTTTCTTACCACACCAATTCTGGTTTGCTCACAGCAAAAAGTAACTCATCATGACTCCGGAGCAGCTTAAGAACTGGTGGGGAATAGGAAGAGTGTATTTAGAGGGCAAAGCAAAAAAAATCAAGAACAAAAAAGAATTGTAATTTACTTTGTTAGCACTAATAGGAAAATCTGTTACTACTGTGAAGGATGTACCCTTTCATACACGACAATTTTCAGTTCTGGTATGGAAACTGGGAATTGTTCTACGCTTACTCTAGGAATCTGAGATTCCTCCAGGTTATGAGACGAGTCTGTCTCAGGTCTGGTCTTTTCCTCACTTACACTGGTACTCATCCTGAGGTTATGTACGAAGTATCATGCTTGTACCTCCTTCTTGTCTTTCTCAGAGCTATGTCATGGAGGAGTTTCAGGCACAGAAAAAGTATTCTTTGAGATTAATATTTCCTATTATTAATATTTCAATTCCAGAGTAACTCTTTTCTGACTTTTACAGCCTTGTTTATAGCATCCATTATGAAAAGTTAGGTTAGTTTTTATTTCTACATTCAGCTGTTCAAGTGAAATATAAGAGCAGTTTAAGTTCAGTGCTGTTCTCCTGAATCTAACATGAAAACAAACCAAATGTGCAATCTCTCAGACTTACACGATAAATTTAACTTTAGACTATGATGTGCTCACTGTCCCATTTCCATCAATTTGCCTTTTTTGTTTTTTACAACAGCATTCCAGTTAGAATGGGCAAGTCTCTCCTACATCTTCACCCTTCCCTTGGCAGTGTGGAAAGCATATGCAATATTTCTTTAAATACTGTGAGTTGAGTGCTAGGACTCTCCTAAAAGGAGAAAAAATTAGCCTTTTCCTGAAGAGTCTTGTCTAGGGGGCAAGAGTGTGCTGGAGGCAGAAGTCAGGGTCCTAATGTGTGGATGGCATCCTGGAGACAAGTAGAAAGTGAAGATGGCTGGAAGAGCAGAGCGCCAGGCTTTAAAGGTGATAGAAGAGAATCTTCCTAGGGTCTGTCAGGCACTGCATAAAGTTTACTGCAACCCAGGAAGTCACTCAATTGTCTAAAACCAAGCCTGGGGGATATTTTCCAGCTTTAACGACATATTGGGGCATGAAGAAAGTGGTATAAAAAAAATCTTTTTTATTCTGGCATAATCAATATGAATTATCTCTACCTCAGTTAGGTATTCTGGATGTTGCTATAGCATAGTCTTCCTTTTTTAATTTAAAAACCTTGGTTCTTTCTTTAGGGAGATCATTAAAGGGAAGATCTAGGTAGAGCTACCTTATTGATATAGGGTCCTATCACAATGATTAGCATAGAGTTAATTTTTTTTTTTTTTATTAATTTTGTGTAGTTCATGTTTAATACTGTTATATTAAGGGGGGGGTGGTTTATTTGAGGGTGGGATTTAAAGCATTATCTTTAGGCTAAACTGTGTTGATTCAGTCACATGTGACCCAAGAGCAGTGACAGCTGGAGACAGCCTTGTTAACCTGGTTCAGCCTATCTCCAGCAGAGTGCCATTCTCCATGCATGGCAAATCCTAACTTACCTCTTAGCTGTGATTTCTGTGACACTAGGCCTGGAAAAAGGTAATACTGGCTATAGAGCTTAGCACTGGACTCTTAATGAACTAACTGAGGGTGGAAATGAACAGTTTGGAGTGCTAGTACAACTGTTCATAAAATTAGGCCTTTATGTACCTTGGTAAAGTTTGACAGCTTTCTCTGCAGATACTTAGGGTTAAGGACATAATTTAAACTTCTTTAAAAGGCCTTTCTTGTTCATAGCAGCGGTCTCACAGATGATTGTCAAGAGCATGATTTTGATGTAGGTAAGGTTATTTAGGTGCAAAGTGCTGTTCTGTCTCTAATGATGAAAGAAATTTTGAGGCAAAATTACTCTTTCTCAAGGGTATCTAAAGGACAAATTTGACTCACTTGTATGTGTGCTTCCTGGAACAAAAGAGACACCAAAGAGAACATGTGGGAAGTGTGGCCCTGACACTGTCTCTCAAGGCTCAACTTCAGCTCTAATTTCTATTCTCTTCTCTAGCAATAAAAATACTCTAGCTTTGCCCTTCAAGACAATAAAGAGGTAACACAGTTCTGAAGCAAGGAAGTAGGTTTACCCTTATTCTGTGAGGATAACATTGCAGTATCAAGAGGGTAGGTGATTTTTCCTCAGGTCACTAAAAAAATGTGCATCACAGCAAGAATAGGATCAGACTTCCTGATCAGCCACACAATTATTCTTCCTTTTAGCTTTTGCAATCCTGTTACATTCTGCTAAGCAATACAAACAAATTAAGGTTAGCTTATCCTGGAGCTGCACTTTCTGGGAGCTTACCCCAGTAAGTTCTCCGAGCTCATTATTTTTGATTCAGTTTATCTGAGGACATAGCGAATGGACCCTTTTACGGGGTGAGAAATTTCTTCCATTAAACCGAAGTTTATAGGTTCCCACTCTGATTCCTTTATTGCTAAATATTCTGTGGCAAAGGCAGCCAGAAGAAGGGAGAAAGCTACATGATTTGGT